TAATTCATAAACAGGACAAAGTCCCCTGTATGGTATTATATTCCAAGGAGCAATTGGAAGATTTCAAGCAACATTTGTGTGCTGCCGGAAAAGACAACCCTTTTGTCATCGGTGTTGACAGGACCTTCAATCTTGGCCCTTGTTATCTAACGACAATTGTTTACAAGAACACAAATGTAATGCAAAAGGAAACATCAAACAACCCTATATTTCTCGGACCTATGTATTTGCACTGGGATGGTGAATATAAAACTTACACAACATTTTTCTACAACCTAAGAACCCAACTAGGAGACTATATTGATAACGCGAACGTAATGATTGGAAGTGATCAAGAAAAAGCTTTAAGAAAGGCACTTATGTGTTGTCTTCCGAATGCAACACTCTTATTGTGCAGCAACCACCTAAAGGAAAATGTTAGACGCTATTTGACTGATATTATTGGTTGTACGAACACCGAAAGGATTATTATCCTAAAGAAAATTTTTGGTACAAATGGACTAGTTAGAAGTGACTGTGAGGAAAAGTTTGAAACAGGTATCAACAATCTCATTTGGTACTTTTCCAAATACCCAAAGTTCAAAGAATATTTTGATTGCAGTTTAAAATCTTCTCTGTGGAATTATGTGTGTTCCTCACACAAAGGCTAAAATGGATAAGTTGTGGACTAACAACAATTGCGAGTCACTGAACCACATTCTTAAACTAACTATTGACTGGAAACCTCAAAAATTGCCAGATTTGATTGAAAAAATCTGCAATGTTTCAACACTCCAAATGTTAGATCTGAGGAGGGCGTTACATGGAGAAGGTAATTATGTACTTTCATCCAATTTAAAAGGGTACCTTATTCCTAAGGAAGTTTGGGATAAAAAACTAAAGACGAAAAGATAAAGTGCTTATGGTGCTTTATATCAAGAAAACCATATATTGAGGACAGAAAAATATTTGCCAAAGGCAACAGATTTTCAATTCCCAAAACTTGTGCAATAGCAAGAAAACCACATGAGCGTAAGCGTCCACGAAGTGAGAGGGCAGTATAAAGTAGAGTAGTATAAGTGTTTGGGAAATGCCACCAGGCAATTGTGTGTTTATTTTGCTTATCTTTATCCTATTAGCGTATTACAATCTTCATATAAGAAGTTATTGGGTTTGCAATTTGATTATTTATATGTATCCTAGTTAATTAATTATTTGAATCTAATTTCATTTATCTTTATTCTTAATTGTATTATACATATGGTGACCTTGTTTATTTATATTCAATAATATTAACTGTCAGTTGTTTGTTCTTCTATTTGTTCTAGTTCTTTCAATATTACTATTATTAGTTAAATCTTTTTTAAGTTCCTCATTGTATCCAACACCATATTTTCGGATTTTTAAAACTGTCGATTATTATCTATTTTTTTACCTTTTGTTCACTTAGATGTTAAATGAAACTAGTAACATCTATACACTCGAGATATAAATGTGAGGGTTCATGTCACAGCCATACAGTTTATATGCGAAAGGTCTGTGGTCGCTGACATACATATTAATTAGTAGGTACAGAGATTGCATATTCAATTTATTTGATTTGTTAAAAATTATATATTTAGAGCACAAGTTTATTTCATTTTCCTTAATTTTTTGTTAATAAATAACATTGTCGTACTCTGTTTAATTATTTCATTACATTTAACTCCATTTTCTTCATTATAAATTAAAATTTAAATATAGAAAGTTTACATATTGTATGTAAGTTCTCACTGCATGAAAGTTTCTTACTTGTTTATCTTATGACATCTGCAACATTAACTATAATTACATAACTATAATTATAAGTTATGACTATTTTATATTAACCCATCTAACACCATCCGCCTTATGGATGGAAGATTTGGCTGTAATAAATGAAGGCCAGTTAGTCAACGCTGTCCAAAGATTGGTATTACAATGGCTAATTAGTGATCACTTTCCCATATAAAGTACATACATCCCTATAAGGTAATAACCATTGGTAAAACTTTTATCCTGGGTAAAATAACTTATTTACATTAAAGATGTAAGTTAACAATGCACTGTACTGGTTTGATTAACATGGCTTGAAGGTTAACATCCTGAGAATAACCTTGTATATTAAACTTAGTAAGTGTAACAAGGGTAAATGTAATAATGTGTAACTTCCAGAGAATAAGTCTAACAATGGGGCTATTACATTTTACATTAGTAAAAGTGCTACCTTGGGTAAAATGACAGTGTAATACTGTAACATTCTATGCGGTTAACATTTAATTGCCAGGAAAGGGGGGCGCCAGACGCCCCCCCCCCTGATAGATTAAGCACTTGCCCAAAACTATGTGGCTTTACAATAATTGTAAGAACACCATTGTTATGTACTCTGACAAATCCAATGTACCTTCTTGTATATAACACAAACAAATAGATAGTAATTTCTTCGGAAGAACAATATTGGATGAGAAGGGAGGATAGTAATTTACAGGATACCCGGGATCCTCATGAAATGAATTGTTTGTGTATTTGCTATTTGTATCCATAGGCTAAAGCTGTTAGCTCTTGGATTCCGCCTTTCTAACCCTCTGCTGTCTAATGTACTGACTCCAGACCTAATTTTCTCTCTTATCTAGTATTACACACACACATTCCCAGGATAAAGATTCAGAGAATCTAATTCCTTTCACATCACTAATCTGATGTCTTTCTGCTCACTTAGAAAGTCCTCTGTCATATATGGTGAAATAAACCCACCTGGCCTTGTTGCTTTCTATTGATAATAACTTTAGTCTCCACAAACATGTGTGCTTGGGTAACATTTAAGAGACATTCTTAATGGTTCAACTATAGACGAATGTGATAGAAATGCTACTGGATTTTTGTGGTCTCAATTCTTACCTGATCTGAAATGTTAATTAAAATGTTTTACTGGTTACTGGTACAGTAGTAGTTCTGCTTAGAGCTAGCTATACGCTACTAATTTCAATTGAATACTTTAATTCTAAAACATATTTTCATGTACTCAAAAGATCTTGAATTTATCAAGCGAGGAGTGAATGTAAATAATCTTCAAGGAATGAGTATGGGGTGCAAAATAAATTACTAATCACAGGATATGACACTATGATATGCGTGCTCTACTTTGGGGTAAATAAAATACATGATTATTTTCAGAATATATACTTTAATGACAAATATTTGAAAAGATATTTAAAGTTGAAATATTTATCTTTAAAAAAGATAAAACCTCCTTGCATTACACAAGTATTGATGAAATATGACATATTTACCGACTATAATGATGGCATTGAATGTAGTGTTCATGTGTCCGGATACCGGCGATTATGTAGTATTATTTATTTAAAAATATAATGCCTTTCACATAAATTATATATATTGAAATGTAGCTACAGTAATGTCTACATCTCTGCCTTTCTTCTGACATATAAATCTTGAAGGTTAATTAGCATATATATGCATGTTAATTAGACAATTACAGTCTCCGTGGTGTAGTGGTAAGACACTCGCCTGGCGTTCCGCGAGCGCTATGTCATGGGTTCGTATCCTGGCTGGGGAGGATTTACTGGGCGCAATTCCTTAACTGTAGCCTCTGTTTAACGCAACAGTAAAATGTGTACTTGGATGAAAAAACGATTCTTCGCGGCGGGGATCGTATTCTAGGGACCTGCCCGAAACGCTACGCGTACTAGTGGCTGTACAAGAATGTAACAACTCTTGTATATATCTCAAAAAAAAACAAAAAAAAATTGTGGTACTAGTCGCTGTACAAGAATGTAACAACTCTTGTATATATCTCAAAAAAAAAAAAAAAAATTGATTTGCTGGTGTGTAGCTCTCCACACACCCAGAGCGGGTCCATGTATTTTCCCAAAGCTTTATCCATAGTTACCTAGTGCTACTCCGGCCTTCTAGCATTACACAAGTAATGAAGATATATTACATATTTACTCCCTATAATGATGTTATTGAATGTATATCACACTACACACACACCCAGAGCGAGTCCATGTATAGCGAACGCATACCAGCGAATAATCATCAGCATCTATATAACAAAACTATTGTCCCATGGAGTTAATTTCACTTCCAGACACCTATTTTTCAATACAATTTCAATATTTTCTGGCTATTTATGCTAAATATTATTGTAACTATGCATTATTGTTGTTTATACCATTATTTCAATTTGTGACGACGTGTGTACAAGAGGCTGATATGCCAGCAAACACTCTCCAGGCAACAATCTGTCTTAGATAAGTCGCTCCACAACATTGACGCTTGGATCGTCGACTTGATTTGGCGTCACCTGCTCTTTATTTTCGTCTAATTTCTTTATAAAAAGATACTTTTTCGGATTAAAATTATGTTTTTTCATGTTGTATGTTCAGCACCAACATTGTAATGAGTAAATATATCATATTTATTCATTACTAACGTATTGCCAGGAAGTTTTCTGAAGCGTGTGTAGCATGTGCTAGATTTTGGTAATTAGACGGACCGCCCGTCAGTAGCATTCCAGGTTGCAATTCTTTTCCATGTCGTGGCACAGTTGACTAAAGCGCATCTGGGAATATCCCGTGCGTAGGTTCGAACCCTCACCACGGCCCTTGTGGATTTGTTCACTGTGCGTATTAGTAGTTTCAGGCATTGAATGTACTAGCTCTATCTATTAATTTGACAATATGTTTCTAACTTATTTTCATTGTATGTACCTTTACCCGAATAAATATCTTATCTTATTTTATCTTATCTTATTTTATCTTATCTTATCTTATCTTATCATATCGTATTTTAACTTATCTAATTTGAAATTGCTGCCATCTTCCTTGTTTGTTGTGGTTACGTCACGCGTCCGAATGCTCGCTTTCGTCTCTAACGTTGTCCTCAAGAACTGTAAAACACCCAATAACTCTTGATTTACCCAGACTTTTAAATAAATTATTGCAGTAATAAATGTTTGATCGTGAGATATTAATACAGTTATGAGGAGAATAGCCCAAAGTAAGGAAGTGGAGTTTGGAGTGTTGGGAGGCGGGAGGTGAGGCATGGCGGCGTCCGGGGTGTTGGTCAGCTGTTCGGGTGCTCTCCTGTCTTCCTTACTCTACGAGCAGTTAAGGAGCGGCCATGCTCAAGTAGGTTGTACACTTACTCTAGCTATCAAATACGAACAATTTAAAAGCAATGTTATATATAGTGTTTGGCAGATAAGTGAGTTTTTGTGTCCTGTTGGGAGTTGCACCGCTGGTGTGAAGGTTGTAACTTTCTACACATACATGTTTAATATTGGTGTCACGCCCAATATTTTGTTGACGAAATCTCCAACTGCTTCACCGACGCCACTGAGGCAACCACTAATTATTCGACCACATTTGATTTACAAACATTGCCACTAGGAAGAAATATTTTGCTTCACCATATGTAATTGTGTTGACATCTGCTTTCTTAAATATTATATTACATATTGATATTGAAGCTTGGCCTATCTTAGGTGCTCTGAATTAGCTGTGTGTTCATGCAATAGTTGGTAACTTTGTCTATTAGCATTTCTTAGCAGAGTAACATTTAAAGTGAACCATTTGAAGAGTGTTACCTTCTTATTGAAGATTCAGTACAGTATATTTTTTTGTTAGGTGTTTTTTAAAATAGTGATGAGAGATTACTCTTGGGACTGTTCTTGAATTTTAGTTTTTGAGAGTGGACACATCTCTGGAAAAATTGCATTTAAATGTATGAAATAAACTAAAGGATTAATGTACTGTACAGTATTATGGTTTGTTTTTCTTGAACCAGTTAAGGCTAAATCAGATGTCTCAAAAATGCAGTGGAAAACATTTTGTAACCCCTTTCCAAAGTACTGATGTTCTGGGTTTAACTCCTGCACTGTGCACCTGTTTTTGGCAAAAACTTCAAAGTGCAATTGTTAAGGACATATTTTTGTTGTTTTTATAAATGTTCAGGTAAAGTTAATATCAAAATGTTTCCAAACTAAACTTTTTTCATTTCAAAACCCAATGAGCAATGAAAACATTAAACAACAATAAAGTATAGCCAAATTAAAGAAAATGGACAACTTTCAAAATGACATTTGTTGGCTGGCGCAGGTGAGGGGTTAAAGTATTAGGCACAGGAATGGAACAGAATAAATTTATTTATTAAAAATGTATTGAATCATGTAATAGTAATCAAAATATATAAAAGTCTAAAGAAATATTGTAAAAAAAAAAAAAATTGACGTCTTTGGTTCAATGTACGTGAAGAGAAAGCAAAGTGGTGGGGGGGGGGTCACTTAGTCTATGGTTTGAGGCGATACAATATTTATCTACCATATAGGGGAGAGGGCTGTGATGATTGTTAGATGGTTTATATTTACACTTTCACTTCAGTTTACACAGTACTGTATGTGGAATAACTTTGTTTACATATAATTTACAAAAACAATGAGTATTGTATGTAGGCCTACAATGTAATATGTACAGTACTTAGGAAAACGTGTTCATTGTGCATGTACACCTAGATTGCACGTGAATCTATTCCTAGAATAGCTCAAAGGAAATGACTTACAACCTTTGCTGTTTTGCTGCAATTCTGTCTGGTAATGTTGTCCAGAAATATATTAACATTGGTGTTAAATACCAAATTACAATTTGATGATACTGGAACTGCAAGCCACTAGTATATGATAATCTCATCGCATAGTAAACAATTAAAATGATACGGATGTAATGGTCCATGTTAAATATTATATCCATATAATTGTATTATAACCATATTTACATCATTTGTATGAAAACTGAGCAATAATAATTGATAAATGCTTTACCTAGTGATCAAGCTATGACAAAAACTTCATACCAAAGGTTTAGGTTTATCACACTAACAGAGTATCAAAAATAAAATTCATGAATTAAGTGTACAGTACTTGGGTGCACAGAAAGACTAGGTATTATTGGGGTAACAAGCATGGATGAATATAGGTACTAGAGATTTAGGGTTTTGTGTTTTGTCTGATGGCTTGCAATTGCTTGTGGCACTTGAAACAGTACACTTTGATTTCAGTACAGGAACTAACCACAAGCAACAACCCTCCAGTGTCAGGGATGATAATCAGAGGCTATAATATCTTCCACTTTTGTCATAACCTTGTGGTCAAGCATTGTTCTGCCCTAACAGAGTTTGACAGAGGGTGTAACCTGCTAGGGGTTCTACATCAAATTTGGATTGTGACTAAAGACTCTAGGGCACTTTCACCCTTGATGTGTCTAGAAATAAAGTGAATAAGGTACAAGTTAATTGTGAGGGTGGTACTGGGAAAAGGGTTTAATTAAAAGCGTGTATAACTTAACACTTTCGCGCTCTCGGCGCTCAAAAAAAAAAATACCCCAGATGCTTTCGGCACTTCGCGCGCCTACGCGGTAAGACCGAAAAAGTGTACACTCTTTTGACTGTCCTGACAATAATTGAAGGCACACGTATTTAAATTTGGTATCACTGTGTTCGCTATGAAATTGTCTATAAGAGCATACCTATAAAATGCCGCCCAAGCATAAGGAGTATCAACACCAAATAAAAAACTATGCAGATCACTCGCCGAGAGCGCCAAACAGCAACAAAATGTTTCCACTCTCTTAATGGTTGCGAAGCCTACAGTTGTCCTACATCGCTAATTTTGGTATCATTGGAATCGCAATAAAATTCTCTACACGGACATATGCATATGAATGTTTAATATAGGTAATTGCCCACCCGCAAGAGTGTGTGAAGTGGAGAGTAGTTAGCCACGAGCGCACTGGCGAAAACACAGGGGGGAAATCATGCTTGAAAAGTTTATACATTTATACGTTTCCTGACCCTACTTTTCTATGTACGTATTTCTTTTTTATACCAATGTGTTCGCAATAAAATTTTCTATAAGATGAAATGTATAACAATTGTACAAAGCATGTGTAAGAGAAGCGCCAAATATAGAACCACGTCGGAAGCCAAATCCGCTGCAGCTCCAGCCGCAACGTCACAACACCTGCACCATGTTGTGAGCTCAAGGGAAGGAGAGCCCCCAATGCCACCAGCTGGACAGGTGATCACTGGTCACAAAGCTCCAACCGAAGCCGAGGCATCTGAGAATACATCTAGCGAGGGAAGAGGAAGGTGCCATGGCACCGAACCCTGAAAATCCTGAAGAGGAAGCCAGTGACACAGCAACTGGCACAAGGACACTAGGTCATTGTGCTGGTTCACAATGACCCAGTCGCAACCCAGTGAAAACAAGAGTGGCAAAAGTGGCCGCTCCGAAGATACCAGAACTGCCTCCGAAGCCAAACCCTGCCCAGTGGAAAACCAACAGACCAAAGCTCAATCTCCCGCACAGCTGCTCAAGCAACCGCCAGGTGACCTGGATCCACCTCAAAAACAGCTGAGGGCAGAACTGTAACCAGAGCGAAGCTGCCGGAGGGAGAGAAACGTACGCAATTTGAAAATACCACACTAGGCTTATCCAAGTCTGAACCCAGGGCAGAACCAACTGGGACTTCCGCCAAGATACCAGAAACCCGAACCCGATATGCTGAGAAAGAACCAGAACCCTGGCTAATAGACAAACAGACCGGCAAGGAGCCCACACCAACCAGTAGGCGAGGCAGGCTGCCAGCCAGGAAGACACTGGAACCTCGGAATGCACCCGAGCAGGGGAAGAGGAAACCAACTCAAACAAAACCGGACTAAATTGTATCTTATTGTACTAAAGTTGTAGGACTAACATTTTAGGCCATAATATTTTTTTTTGTTATCAAAGTTTTATCAGTACAAAATGCATCCACCAAAGGATCATGGTTATTGCACAACAATCTGAGTTTTGGATTGTATCACTTCCTATTGATGTTTCTTTCACATAGGTCAGGAAGTAAATGCTACCCATTCATTTGTTTTATCTTTTGTAAACTACTTAACAAACATATTGAAAATTGATAGGTAGAATTCAAAATGGAGATTGTATATTGTATTTTACAGCAAAACTGATTATTTATGTTGGCTAATCATTAAATATTATATTGACATAAGGATTTTTTGTCAACAGGAAGGCTTCTTACTGGGTCAAGTGCAGTCACACATTAGTGAGCACATTAGTGACTCCCAGATCTGCAACGAGAAGATGGAAACTGTCATAAGTTTGTATTGCTTGTTTTATAATATACAGGGTTTTGGTTTTGGATGCATGTTTATACATTAAATATTATCAATTGAAACCTTAACTTTATAAATGGAATAAAACAATCTCCATAATTGAAAAAAAATATTATGGCAATGAGTGTGTCACATCTCTGGATTCATTAGAACAGTTTTTTTTCTGAGGGGAGCCCCGTCGGCTCCCTGAAGCTATCAAACTGACATATGCCATATTAGTTTGGTACTATCAGTTTTTGGAGTTCGAGTGTCTATCAGGGGCCACGAGTCAGAACCTGGCCCCCTTCAGTGAGGCACAGAGAGCACTGGCCATATGAGCTCTCTACATTTAGAGTTTGTCATGTCTGCCATCGACTGGGGAAGGCATCCAGAAAGGTAGGCGACCCAATACAAACCTCGAACTGATGATAATTGCAACCTACGTCCAAACAGCACCAAAGAACTCCCCAAAAAGAAAACTAGGAAACAAGCAATTGTCGTCCTACTAGCACGCTTGCTCATTAACGCCCCCCTACCCAGACAGGAGGAAAAGTGGGGGACCCACCGCACCACCCTCAGTTTGTAGACTGATGTGCTGGTGTTCACACGTCCTCTCTGGTCTCAAATTTTGACTGGCTTTGCATTTGTGACTTTACCAGCTGTGTTGTGTGGTGGCCAGGTGTTCTTACAAGTTTACTGGACTGCATGCACTTAGGATTCCCTTCCCTAGGTGCCCAGTAAGTACTTCTCTTGCAGGTCAGGGTTATCTTCCCCGGATCGTTCAGATCTCGCCCCCGTTTGAGGACTTCATTGCTTGGTGGTGTTCTTGCCCTTGGGGTTCTTGCCTGTGGGCGGTGCAGCTTGCATTCAGCAGCGGTTGAGGATTCTCTCTGGAGACTGGCTAGTCCGTGTGTGTTGCTTCAGGGTAATTTTTCTTTTAGTTCATTCTCACTTCCTTGGTGGTGGTGGAGGTCTGCCTAGCTTCCCATTAGGCTAGCCTAGGTTGTGTTTGGTAATCCTCTGTTGCCCTGTATTACTGTACTCACTTTTTGACGGTGGCTTGTCCCAGTTGCCGCCTTGTTTCTGATTTGTTCTTATTCATCTGGGGTTCATGTATTAGTTAGGTTTTGTGGTCGGGCTTCAGGCTTACCGCTTTCATTGCCTTCCATTCTGCTTGACTCTGGCACCTCGCATGTTCACATGCTTAACTTGGGTCACGGTGGCCCGTCTTCATCTACTAAGGGTTCGGGTCCTGGCCTACCTCGACAACTGGTTGGTGTGAGCTCCAAACCAGTTTGCATGTCTGCTCGGCAGGGACGTGGTTCTTTCCCAGCTTGCCAAGTTTGAGGTCTGGTGATTTGGAGGAAGCCCCATCTGGTTCCATCTCGGGTTCGGACTTGGCTGATCCTCGTGTTCAATTCTCGGACTACGTCCATTTCTCTTCCTCCTGTGGCTTTGCTCTGGCTACAGTCCTGTCGTCTGCTGTTTTTGAGGGGGACCTGGGTCACTCGGCGGTTGCTCTAGCAGCTGTGTGGGAGCCTGACCTTTGTCTTGCTGGTTTTCCCTCTGGGCAGGGTCTGGCTTTGGAACCTGTTCTGGTATCTTCGGGGCAGTCCCTTTCACTACTCTCGCGATCGCTGGGTTTGACCTCTGGGGTCCTTGCGTCGGTTGCTGCTTCTCCGGCTTCCTATTCATGTTTTTTTGGGTTTGGTGCCTTGATGCCTTCCACTTCCCTTACCTTGGTTACCTTGAGGTGCTTCCGGGGCTTAGCGTCCCCGCGGCCCGGTCGTCGACCAGGCCTCCTCGTTGCTGGACTGATCAACCAGGCTGTTGGACGCGGCTGCTCGCAGCCTGACGTGTGAATCACAGCCTGGTTGATCAGGTATCCCTCACTTGATGTGTTCACGGACGCCTCGTCTCTCGGCCTGGGGTTTTGTGAAAGTGCTCACCAGGCCGGCCAGGGGCATTGGACTTACAGCACAATGCGGGAGTTGGCAGGTGCTGCGGCGGATTCGGTTGCCTCGGGCTCAGTGATTTGACTATTTGGACTGCTTACCTGTGGTTCATTGTCTCAGTCAGGGGGGAGTCTCTGCTGTCCGTGGGTCTTTGGGGCTTGGGCTAGTCCCTTCGGGTAGCTCTTCTGCTGAGTTTTCTGGGTTTAGCTCTTCGCACCGTTAACATTCATGGGGTGTCCAGGTGAGACAGCCTGTCTTGCTTCATTCCTCTTTCCACAGAGTGGACGGTTGACGCCGCCTCCTTTGGCTTTGTCAAACGTTCGGGCGCCCGGAGGTGGACCTCTTGGCGTCGGCTTAGTCCAGGTGCCTTCCCATGTACGTGGCACCATTCCCCGACTGTGAGGTGTTCGCGGTGGATGCTTTCCGGCCGGACTGGTCAAGGTGGGGGTTCCTGTACCTTCATCCTCCAGCATTTGCTTCGGGTTCTGGCACGGCTCGAATATTTTTTTTTTTATTACAGATGTGTTGTTATTTGTATGGGGATCAGATGGCTTCATTGATGATGTCCCACTTGCAGTCTTCCTCTCAGCAACAGTATGAAGTCTCCTGGCTGTTTTTCTGCAATTTCCTTTCCCTTCGTAGGATTTTGTCAGTGTCTGTTCCAGTTGTTTTGTACTTCTTGGCTCCTTTAGGACCGGCGTCTTATGCCGATTATTGTTGCTTCTCATCGTGCGAGGACTGGTCGAGGTGGGGGGTTCCTGTACCTCTTTCCTCCAGTTCAGCTGTTGCTCCAGGTCCTGACTCGCTTGGAGATTTACCAGGGGAGAGTTGTCCTCTTGGCCCCGTGGTGGCCGGCCCAGCCATGGTTTAAGGTGCTCCTTGCTCAGTGTCCGAATCCGGGTTTTCCCGCGGCTCCACCTTTTCCAGCAGATCGGACCGGGACGTCACATGGCTGGTTCGATCTTCTCTAGTCTTCGCGTATGGTATTTTTGACTAGTGTTTATCATCTCTATGGTGATCAGGTGGCTTCCTTGTTAGTTTTTCACCTGCAGGTTTTGTCTCGGAGGCAGTACAAAGTTTCCTGGCGGTCCTTCTGTTTCTTCATGCGTCTTCTTCGTTGTACTTCGCTTTCTGTTAAGGTGGTGTTGTCCTTTCTCTCTTGGTTGTTCCAGGACCGTCACCTTATACCTAACACTGTCACCTCGTATCGTGCAGAGCTGGCGGAGCCGTTTCAGCTTGCTTTCGGTATTGATGTTACTTCTGCGCTGTTTCGCAATCTGTCTCGGGCGTTGTTTCACCTCTGTCCTGCTCATGCGTCGCCTGAGCCATCCTGGTCATTGGACAGAGTGCTCTCTTATCTTTCTTCTCCTCGGTTTGTTGTGGCTCCTTCGGTTCAGGATTGTTTCTCCATGGCTCTTTTTCTGTTGAAATTGGCCTCGGGGTCGTGTTGGTGAGCTTCGTGCTCTCCTCCAGCACAGGGTTTTCTGCTCTTTCGGTCTTTATGATGGTTTTGTTCGTTTGCAGCCATCTCCCTCTTTTCTGGCGAAGAATGAGACTGCTGCTTTCCGGAGGGGTCCCTGCGTTGTGGATGCTTGGTTGGTTAAGGCGGGAATGCATCATGTTTTGTTTCCGGTTGTGGCTCTTCGCCGTTATTTGCGGGCCACGGCTTTTGTGTCTGGGGACGCGCTTTGGGTTGATTCAGTTTGCCTTCTTCCCTGTTCACGGGTGCGGGCCTTCCAGGTCATCCGCAGTTATTAAGGCTAGGCAGTTTTTTTTTTTTTTTTTTTTTTTTTTGCATTCTCCTTTTCTGGCAAAGAATGAGACAGCCGGTGCCCAGAGGGGACCTTGGGTTGTTGACGCATGGTTGGTTAGACCTAAGGTGCATCGTGTGTTGTGTCCGTTTCCGGCTTTACGTCGCTTCCTGCGTGCTACTTGTTCAGCGACAGTAGACATGCTCTTGGTTGAACCCTGTTTCTGTGGTTTCCTGTTCTAGGGCTTATCTCTCTCAGGTTGTCCACAGGGTTATCAAGTCTTGCCAGCTTGCAGTCTATTCTCGTACCCATGATGAGAGGAAGTATGCAGCTCTTGCTGCCACCTTTGGTAAGATATCTTGTTAACGTCTCAGGCTGTCTGCGGTCTTGTGTTGCCTTGGGACGTTTGTTGCGGACAGTGGTCTTGTTTTCATCGTGAGACCTACAATGCTGCTGCCTCCCGGGTAAGTCCCTGTTTTGACTTATCTGTGGGTAGATAGCTATTCAGAAAATGGCTTTCTTCCACTCAGAAAACCAGCATTGAATGTAATCAAACGCAATTTTCTGGGTGAGCCCTGGAAGCTCCCTGACACACTTCCTCTCTCCGATCAGCGTTTTTTTGTCATTCTCTGAACTGAGGGTGGTGCATCTTGCTTGCCTGAGCAGGGTCCTCCTTTTCCCATGTTGGGGGAGGGTGAAACGCTAATGAGTGGGCTCGCTAGTTGGATGACGTCTTGCTTGTTTCACTATTTTCTATTAGGGGGAGTTCTGTGCCTCTGTTTGGACGTAGGTTGCAATTTTAACCAGTTTGAGGTTTGTAATTGTTTGCCTTCCTTTCTGGGTGCCTTCCCTGGTTGATGGCATACATGACAAACTACATAGAGAGCTCATATGCCCATTGCTCCTTTCGGCTCTTGGCCCCCAATAGGTACTCGAACACCAAGGACTGGTGGCACCAAACTAATATGACACATGTCAGTTTGATAACTTCAAGGAGCCTCTGGGGCTCACTCTGAAAATGGGGTTTCATTACATTCAACGCTGGTTGTTATTGTGCATCTGAGTGTTCATTTTTATCTTAGAGCAATTCTCTATAGTACAGCAGTGCATATTGTGCCTTTAAAAGCCTTATATGGACACCATAAAATCCTACAGGAATTTGGTTGAATAGTTTGGTTATTTTGTATTTTATTGTAATTAATAATTGAGGATTATGGATAATGTGGGAAAATTTTGAAACATTCATTCATTAAAAATTGAAGAGTAAGGTTTAATATTATATTTACAGATTTGTCATCTTTTCTGCCATGTACAATGATTGGAACATTCTACTCTGGTGCTGGTGTTCTTAATCATGAAAAACTTACAAAGTACTTGGGAAAAAATCTAGAGGTAAGTGTGAGTTTTTTGTTGACAACAAAAATTTTATAATCACTTCCAAATTTCTTTAAGAATTTATTTATTTATATATACAGTGGTACCTCGGAATACGAGTGTCCTTGTATGCAAGTTTTTCGGAATACGAGCAGGATTTGCTTGGAAAATTTACATCGAAATACGAGCGTTGCCTCAGAAGACGAGGGTGTTGATACGCGTACAGGCTGACCTAGCGCGTGGTGGCACGGCGATCGCGCCTCAGTTTACCAGTCCCTCGCGCCCAGTGACTATCTCGCCTGAATTCTTCACAAGGATTTACAGTGTTTTGTTGGATATTTGACCATTTGAGCATAAAAGTTATTATATATCTTGCAATGGGTCCCAAGAAAGCCAGTGGTAAGGTTCAACCGAAGAAAATAGTTGAGTAGAGGCAGTAGAAGATGTCCCTTCCTCACTAAGAAAATGTGTGAAGTATGGGAAGAACTGCAAAGTTTTGTTGAAAAAACTCGCCCAGATAAAGCTGTAGCAGGCCGTTGCATTGACCTTTTAAATGACAATGTGATGTTTTTCTACAGACAAGTGTTAAAATGTAGGGAAAAACAAGTGTCTTTAGACAGATTCTTAGTAAGACAAGCAAGTCCTAGTGGTATGCAGGCAAAACGTGCCAGAGAGTGCACACCAGTGAAGTCCTCACTGCCAGATGTTGTAATGGAAGGAGACTCCCCTTCCAAACAGTAACACTTCTTCTCCTCCCCCCTCCTCACTATCTTCCAATCGCCAACAGCAGTCATCAGCAAGGATAAGTAATAACTTGAACATACTTTTGTTGTGTAGATTTAGATAAATTAGGTATAAAATTTAGTTGGAAGTGAGGTTTTTGGGTAGTCAGGAACTGATTAATTCATTTCCCATTATTTCTTATGAGGAAATTAGCTTTGGTTTACGAGTTTTCGGATTACAAGCTGTCTCCTGGAACCGATTAAATTCTTAAACCGAGGTACCCGGTCGGGAGGGAGGGAGGGAAGGGAGCCGGTCGGCCGAGCGGACAGCACACTGGACTTGTGATCCTGTGGTCCTGGGTTCGATCCCGGCGAGAAACAATGGGCAGAGTTTCTTTCACCCTATGCCCCTGTTACCTAACAGTAAAATAGGTACCTGGGTGTTAGTCAGCTGTCATGGGCTGCTTCCTGGGGGTGGAGGCCTGGTCGAGGACCGGGCCGCGGGGACACTAAAAAAAAAAAAGACCCGAAATCATCTCAAGATAACCTAACCTCTGTGTGTGTGTATGTATGTATATGTATTTGCATATATATGTATATATATTGTGACGGGAAAAGTAGGTGGTCGTGCAGGCAGATTGAATGCCAATCACATAAAATATTTAAAAAAAAAAAAAGTTAAACTGCAAGGTGTCTTCACCATGAGGTAAACTGTAGGATAAAGCAGAGGGAAAAAACATTTAAAAATATTTTACTTTGATAGAAAAATGAAATTAAACAAATTACAAAATAAAAATATCCAGGCTTGGCTCTAATACAAAGGGTGCAAAACAAACAAGATGAACACTCAAATTTACGTTACGTTTAAGGTACAAAATAAAATATGGTGCAGGAATACTGTAAGCTAGACTGACTAAATCCGTTACCACACCGAGATGTGTTAACGGGTCTATTCAGTTGAGCACGCAGGAGTAATCTGACTCGTGGTGGGCTAGGAAGCCCTATTTATACAGAATGTCGGCTGGTGACTTCTTTAACTATTAACCGGCTCATAAACTGCTTGTTTCGTGTTGCATGAGCTCCCAGCGACCCAAGTGTGAGGTGGGGTGATGGGCAGTGGTGAAGGGGGAGACCGGTATACTGTCCAGACGTCTGGAAGTAGTAGTTGTTGTTCTTGTGGCTGCAGTACTTGCATATATAGACATGATATGTTTCTATTAACATTTCTATTGTTAATAGAAACGTGTTTCTCGGAAACGGAGGTGTTTCTCTATAGACATGATACGTTTCTATTAACATTTCTATTGTTAATAGAAACGTTATCCCTACAGACAAAAATCAGAGGATACAACTGACGATTTACTATAAAACCAGAAAAACGGCCAGCCTACTCATGAGAAACTCTCCAGACACAAAGCAGAACGCTTTAAAAGAGACCAACGTCGTCTATGCCTTCAAATGCCCACTTGGGGACTGTAAGCTCCAAAAAACCCAGTATATAGGCAAGACAACAACATCTCTTTCTAGGCGTTTAACGATGCATAAGCAACAGGGCTCCATTAAGGAACATATAATCTCTTCCCACAACCAAACCATCGCCAGAGAAATCCTAGTAAACAACACAGAAATCATCGATAGATACAGCGATAGCAGACGGCTTGACGTTTGCGAGGCACTGCACATTAAGAAGTCAACACCAGCAATCAACAGCCAATTAATGCACAACTATATTCTACCCACCTCAAAACTCCGCTCCAATATAGAAGCATCAAGAAATATGGACCAATAGGCTTTCTACAATCACTTCCATTTCAATACCCATTGTTTCTTGTTCTGTCTTATGTTGATGAAATTAATACCCTATTAAATACCACCTCACCCCATCCACCTCACTCAAATGTAGATATAAACAAATCGGAGATATGTAAGTTCTATTCAGTTGTGTATGTGTAAAGTCTTTGAAAATGTAATAAGTTTTACGAAACGCGCTCAAGTGTCGCGTCAGACTAGAAATAAAAATGAATTTTGGAGAATTGATTTTTGAATTACCTCCAACAGTGAAAAGAAATGTACGAAAGATTGAGAAAATTCGTGTTAGAATTATTAATCTTACTTTTTCGGTCATATTTAATAATATATGTCTACAGGAAAGACTGCTACCAAAATATACTAATATTTATATATATATATATATATATATATATATATATATATATATATATATATATATATATATATATATAATATAATATAATATATATAAATAAATAAAAGGTCCAGCGTGTTCTCCTTCCTAGTTAATTCTACTATTTGCTGGTTTAAGGCAAACCTGTCGCATATCTGTAGCAGGTCATTTGCATGTGCCTGTTCATTTAGGCTACTTCCTGGTATTCTTTCTGATATTACTGTATTAGCCAGGTGCTTCCATTTCAGGTGCCGTAGGTTGAAGTCCCCAAGCACGATGATGTTCGGGGCTGGATTTGGGAGGTTTTCCAAGCAGTATTCTATTTGCATTAGTTGGTCTTTAAACTGCTGAGGGTTTACCTCCGGTGACTTATATACAAGGACAATAACTACATTTAAGATCTCTATTTTGATTATCAGCACTTCCACCATATCATTTGAGGTGTTTAGCAGCTCAGTTCATATGAGTGTGTCTTTGATGTAGAGGCTGACTCCACCCTAAAGCCGGTGTTTCCTATCACATCTGAAAAGATTGTACTCTGAGATCCATATTTCACCATCATGGTAGTCCTTTGTGTGAGTTTCCGTTAGGGTTGCAAACACTGCATTTGCCTCATGAAGGAGACCATCTATGAAATGAACTTTGTTGGATTTGCGTGTTTTTATACCCTGGATGTTGGCAAATGTTAATATCTGAGGCTATGGTAAGGAGGCCACTGTGTTTGCGTTCTCTCTAGCATTTGACCGAGTTGGTGATAGAGTCTGGTCATTTTTAGCCATTCTTCTCCTCCTCCTCTTGCTAAAAAATTATCCCGGTCGATGGAGTAGTGGCTGTTTTCATAGTTTCGGTCTGTCGGTTTTATTCAACTGGTACCTCTTATATGAAAAGCTGGACATTCAGCATTGAAACACTCTTTCCTGTCCAAAGAGTTCTTGCAAATTTCTGGGTGAAATAATTCACAGCTTTTGATACATTTACCTGTATTGAGGAGGTTTCTGCACTTTCTAGGGTGATCGTACTTACATGTTCCATTTGTTCTTCCCGATATCCCATGTTTACAGGTAGCCCATTTGTAATACCAACAGATTTTGGGGCCTTATTTTGTTTGTTTCCCTTTGCCAGGGACCGCACTCTGCTGCGGCATCCCCGACACTGTGCTCTGCTCCGGGGCCTGTGACACCGCGCTCTGCTCCGGGGCCTGTGACACCGCGCTCTGCTCAGGTGCCATCGCCACCGCGCTCTGCTCCGGTGCCATCGCCACCGCTCTCTGCTCTGGTGCCATCACCACTACGCTCTCCTCCGGTGCCATTGCGCTCTGCTATGGTGCCCGCGACACCGCACTTTGCTCCAGCACCATTGACACCGCGCTCTGCTCAGGCGTCCCCAACTCCGCGCTCTGCTCAGGCGTCCCCGACTCCGCGCTCTGCTCAGGCGTCCCCGACTCCGCGCTCTGCTCAGGCGTCCCCGACTCCGCGCTCTGCTCAGGCGTCCCCGACTCCGCGCTCTGCTCAGGCGTCCTCGACTCCGCGCTCTGCTCAGGCGTCCGCGACTCCGCGCTCTGCTCAGGCGTCCGCGACTCCGCGCTCTGCTCAGGCGTCCCCGACTCCGCGCTCTGCTCAGGCGTCCCCGACTCCGCGCTCTGCTCAGGCGTCCCCGACTCCGCGCTCTGCTCAGGCGTCCCCGACTCCGCGCTCTGCTCAGGCGTCCCCGACTCCGCGCCCTGCTCAGGCGTCCCCGACTCCGCGCTCTGCTCAGGCGTCCCCGACTCCGCGCTCTGCTCAGGCGTCCCCGACTCCGCGCCCTGCTCAGGCGTCCCCGACTCCGCGCTCTGCTCAGGCGTCCCCGACTCCGCGCTCTGCTCAGGCGTCCTCGACTCCACGCTCTGCTCAGGCGTCCCCGACTCCGCGCTCTGCTCAGGCGTCCCCGACTCCGCGCTCTGCTCAGGCGTCCCCGACTCCGCGCCCTGCTCAGGCGTCCCCGACTCCGCGCCCTGCTCAGGCGTCCCCGACTCCGCGCCCTGCTCAGGCGTCCCCGACTCCGCGCTCTGCTCAGGCGTCCCCGACTCCGCGCTCTGCTCAGGCGTCCCCGACTCCGCGCTCTGCTCAGGCGTC